GGATTTTTTCCGAACTTTTCATGGATTTTTCCCGTGTTTTTAATGAGTTTTATGGGTATTCTCCGGGTTTTTTCCAGGGGTCTGCCAAAGATTTTCCGGGGATTCTCTGGTTTTTTCCGCAGTTTTCATGGATTTTTTCCGAACTTTTCATGGATTTTTCCCGTGTTTTTAATGAGTTTTATGAGTATTCTCCGGGTTTTTTTTCCAGGAGTCTGGCGGAGATTTTCCGAACTTTTCATGGAATTTTTCCCGCGTTTTTACTGAGTTTTGTTGGTATTCTCAAGGTTTTTTCCAGGGGTCTGGCGAAGATTTTCCGAACTTTTTCATGGATTTTTTCCGAACTTTTCATGGATTTTTCCCGTGTTTTTAATGAGTTTTATGGGTATTCTCCGGGTTTTTTCCAGGGGTCTGCCAAAGATTTTCCGGGGATTCTCTGGTTTTTTCCGCAGTTTTCATGGATTTTTTCCGAACTTTTCATGGATTTTTCCCGTGTTTTTAATGAGTTTTATGGGTATTCTCCGGGTTTTTCCAGGAGTCTGGCGAAGATTTTCCGGGGATTCTCCAGTTTTTTCCGCAGTTTTCATGGTTTTTTCCCGAACTTTTCATGGATTTTTCCCGTGTTTTTAATGAGTTTTATGGGTATTCTCCGGGTTTTTCCAGGGGTCTGGCGAAGATTTTCCGGTGATTCTCCAGTTTTTTCCGCAGTTTTCACGGATTTTTTCCCGCGTTTTCATTGGTTTTTTCCGGAGTTTTTACTAGGTTTTATGGGGTTTCCCACGCTGCAAAACACGCCGCAAAAGCACAAGGAAGTGACATATCACGTAACCCGGCGACATCAAAACTTTGATTTTGCGCAAAAGCTGAGATCCGGGAAAGCGCCAACCCACAGACTTTGCGCACTATGCGGCACAAAAAAATTGAAGAATTTTGCACTGAATTTTCTTTGTTTCGAGAATTAAAAATAATTTTCGTCAGAATTTCGGATAAAGGACACCAGGAAAAAATAGAGCAGGCACAAAACTACCATAAAATGACAAAAACTCGATTTTAGAGGCATTGCCAAAGAGTTGAGGAGCTGTTGAAGGATGATGACCAAAAAATGCAGCCTACAATTCAGCGATAATCTTTTTATCTAAGCACGCAAAAAGTATTTCTGTATTTTTTCAATTATTTAACAAGTTTTTCAAGTGAAATAACCATCGATTTTTTTAAAATTTTGAAAAATGCCGAAAAAACAATTTTTCAAAAATTATATTGTGACAACTTTTTCATGATTAGGATGCAAGTTTATGATTTATACTAGTCACTTTTTGATTTTAAAGCATGAATTTCTTTCATTTTGCTTAAAATTAAAAATCTGCAATATTCCTAGGCGCGCAACCTTGAGGGCTACTGTACCGGGAGGGCGCACAACCGGACGTTCTCACGCGAAATACGCCAAGCCTTCTGTTGGGCGAATTGATGGATCCGGGTTGCGTGCATATATAAAAGTTTTGGACTTTGGAACCATCATAACTCGAACTAGACATTTTTCATTAATAACACTATCATTTCATGGTTATCCGTAGTGAATATTTTCAAATGAGACATGGTCTATTTTTTTTTAATAGACATCCAAAAACGTGATAGACTTGAGATAGAACGAGCACATTTGCAAAAAAAAGAATAGAAAAAACGGCTCCATGACATCTCAAAACTGTCGAAAATTAGGCTCCAAATTTTCAACAAAAAAAACATTTTAATATAATTTAAAAAAAAATTGGCAGAAAAAAATTTTCCAAAATTCTTTTTTCCAACAAAGTTTGAAATTTCATTTTGTTTAAGATTCCAAGAAAATAGATTAAAATCCAGTAAAAAACTTTGAAAATTACCATCCTGTTTCAAACGAGTTTCAAAAATTGCGGAGCCAAAAAAATAAATAGTTTCAATGCAAATTTGTTGAAAAAAAAAATCATGCGCACAGCTGTGGTCAATTTAAACGATGGTAAATATGTCGTATAACACCAATAAAACTGAACTCGTGTGCTTCAACAAACACACTATGGGACCGCAGTGCAGGCATTTCCGCCAGTATGAGATCTCCAAAGTGCCAAGCGTCGCCTTCTTCATAATCGATTCGTTCCATTACCTCCTGTGGTTGAAGGGGTTGTCGAGTTGTCACATAGAAGTGTCCTTCTTTTTCAGTGAATGTCTTATACTTCTGAAAGTTCTTTTTTTTTTTTGAAAATTTTGGCAATGCAAGCGCGCTCCATTGAGGTCAATGGAGCACTTTAAAATCAAACTTGGTTTTTTTTCTACCATGTTTCATACTGGCCCGCAATTTCAACTTATTCGGAGCAAAACTGACAAACATGCTGTAGTTTTATTATTTTCGTGGCGAGACCCAAAAATCCCAAAATTTGAAATTTTCTCAGAACCTAGTCATGATTATACTCATTCAAACCGTCTTGTTGAGCTGATTCCAACCGTCTATTTTTCAACTCATTTGGAGCAAAACTGGCCGATATACCGCAGTTTTGAGATTTTCGTGGTAAGACCCAAAAAATCAAAATTTTTCAGAACCTAGTCATGATTATACTCATTCGAACCGCCTTGATGGGCTAATTTCAATGTTCTAATTTTCAATTTCATTGGATCAAAACTAACCGAGATACTGTAGTTTCGAAATTTTCGTGACGGGACCCAAAAAACCTAAAATCGGAAATTCTCTCATAACCTAGTCATGGTTATACTCGTTTGAACCGTCTTACTGAGCTGATTCTAACCGTCTAACTTTCAGTTCATTTGGAGCGAAACTGACTGAGATACTGTAGTTTTGAGATTTTCGTGGCGAGACCCAAAATTCCCAAAATTCAACAATTGCTCAGAACCCAGTCATGTTTATACTCATTTTGAAGCTCTTGACGTGCTGATCTAAACGCACCTATTTTCAACTTTCTAGGCCCAAATCTGAAAAAAAAAAATTGAATTCATCTTACCCGAACCAAATTCCATGCGTCATCCAGACTCAAACTATCCACCCCAATCGTAAATTTTTTGAAATGGGAAAAGTGATTGTAGTTGACTTGCAATGAACTCGAATGTCTAGCACATGAGTCAGTATTCAAACGGACTGATTTACAGTTTTTCCATTGCTCAGTGTTAACAATGGAGTCGTAGACTTCATTGGTGCAGAATTGAGGGATTTCGATGATGCTCAGAATCGAAGGATCACAGAGTTCGATCAATTCTTTGCATGATTCATAGAAATCCGGTTGAATTCTCACTTCCAAATGGCTCACTTTCCAGAGTTTTCGCTCCCCAAATATCTCGTCCAACGTCGTTCTGTCTGCAGTAGATTCCACGAACAAGCTCAACTTCCTGATGGATGAGTTTGGACGGTTGATGAGAGAACAGAAGACTTCACGGGTGATCAGATGATCGTCGACCACAAAGAATCCATCAGCTATTTTGGCAGTGTTCAGACGATGCGGGATTCCGGCGAGTAGACTTCGAGAAGTTGTGCAGTATTTTGATAGCGAAAGTCTGAGAAAAACTTGGTTTTTTTTGTGGGCCCGAAGTTGAGCTCAGAGCCCCCCAAATCTAGGAGTTTTGAACCCGGAAACCTTTTTTTTTCGCCTTAAAACCCTCATTCTTGACCAAAAATTCCTATTTTGAGCCCAGAAAATCAAAAAATTATCGAAGAAGTTAGTAAAAAAAAGAAAAAAGGTTTAGACCCCACTAGGAATTGAACCCTCGACCCAAATTTCTAAAACAAGTGCGTTAGCCACTACACCGCAGAGGCAACAACGGAGAAGGAGGGGGAGAGTAGAGATAGTGCTGCGGCGCCATGAAGGGGGGGGGGGGAGGGGAGGCGCCGTGACAAAAAACATGGTTTTCTTTGCTCCGTAACTGTGGCGTAGTGGCTAGCGCTCTTGTCTTTCAAATTGAAAGGGTAAGTTCGATTCCGAGTGGGGTGGAATATTTTTGTTTTTTTCCCAACTGCCTCTAACAAGATGGATTAGAGCGTATTTGTATTTTCCTAGACTGTGCGCGCGGCCTCCCTCCTCCAAGGACCCAAGAACAGCAGGGAAAGAATATCGACCGACCCTTGGCGGCCCCCCCAGTGAAGAGAAATTGGTACTGGCCCCGTTGCCTATTGCAAAAATGGAAAGGAATATGGGAAAAATGAAATTAAAACTTTTTCCGAAAAAAAAAATTATCACAAAAACCTTTTTTACCCGTACAAAACGGCAAAACCCAAGAAAAAATCTAAATTTTTGTCATGAAAAAAGAAACATACCTATCATAACTATTCAAATTTTTCAGAACTTCCTCCTTGACGAGAATTGGGAAAAATCGCCACTTTTTCATGGTTTTTTCGAGCGAAAATCGAGAATACAAAGACGAAATAGGTTTTGATGAGTGAAAATGAATGGAAAGGGGGCAGGAGAGGGACAAGGACCATTCAAACGGGAGGTAGATTACCCGCCCAGATATCCAATGGAGCGCATTTGCATTGACCTTACTGGTGGTCCTTGTTCCTCTTCTGCCCCCCATTCTATTCATTTCCACTCATCAAAATAACCATGAAAAAGTGGCGATTTTTGCCAATTCTTGTCAAGTATGAGGTTCTGAAAAATATGGATATATCGGATAGGTTAGTTTTTTTTTCATTTATATTTGCCTTTTTGCACGGGTTTTTTGAAAAAAAAATTAATTTTTGTGTGATACTTTGCTGTGCTATCAAAAAATCTCTTTTTTTTACCGCGCAGTCGAAATACGGAAACTAATTTTTTAAATTTCTTATTTTTCCATTCAATTTTTCCATTCATTTTCCAAAAGTCACCAGTACTAATCCCTCTTCACTCGGGCCCCCCTCCCCCCGGCGGGGTCAGTCGATAATATCGCCCTGCTGTCCTTGGGTCCTTGGAGGGGTTGGCCGCGCACAGCCTAGGCCAGTGCAAATGCGCTTCAATCCACTTCAGAGGAAGTTAGGAAAAAAAAACAAAAAGTTTCCACTCCACTCGGAATCGAACTCACCCTTCTGGTTTGGAAGACAAAAGCGCTAACCGCTACGCCACAGTGAATTCGGCTAAAAATGATCCGAATTCGGACCAAATCAGACCATCTCGGTCCCGTTTTTGATTCAATATGCCTCAAAACCTAGCTAAAAATGGAAGAAATGACTCAAAACTAGCTATTGGTACACCATGCGCCTTCAAACTTGAGGTTGGGGAAGTGCGCTCTGATGCGAAACAAAAATTCAAAAAAACTCATCCCTCTCTGGTATTCTTACCACCTTGAAGCCAAAGTCAAGATGGTCAAAATGGTCAAAAACGAAGTTTCTTGCACATATTTGAAGCGAGTTATGCGCCTTTAAAGTTGGAGGCGAGAGAGTGAGAGACGCAGAGAAAATGACAGTCTGCTTCTCTGCCGTCTCCTTGCGTAGTGTCACAGTCACCCCCCCCCCCCCCAGGGGAGAGAGGGGGGGGGAGAGGGCGCCGCCGCAATATCTCTACCCTCCATCTCCTTGTCTGCCGTTGCCTCTGCGGTGTAGTGGCTAACGCTCTTGTTTAGTAAATTTGGGTCGAGGGTTCAATTCCTAGTGGGGTCTAAACCTTTTTTCTTTTTTTTTACTAACTTCTTCGATGATTTTTAGATTTTCTGGGCTCAAAATAGGCATTTTTGGCTCAAGAATCAGGTTTTTTCCAGATTTTCCCTCGCACAATGCTCCAAGCGAACCTGCAAACTGCTCAGCGGGGTTGCGAACCAACTGGATTCAGTGGGAATAGCAGATGAATCATTGGTAGTCAATGATAACTTTCGATTCACTCTCAATGACTTCTCATTTCTCATTGCCTGTCCCTACTCCACTATCGAGGATCTCAGTGTCAATGTACAAACTGCTGAGGCAAAATTGGTTCTTGACAATATAATTGAATCACGGAAAATCATAAAATTGAAAAGTTTGGAGATGGGATTTCATGAAGAATTCCATGAATTATACAAAGAATTGATTGAAATTTGTGATCCATCGATTCTGAGAACCATCAAAATTCCTCATCTATGCACCACCCAAATCTACCAGTCAATTGTTAATACTGAGCAATGGAAACATTGCGAGAGAATCTATTTGAATAGTCATGAATCTGCACAACATACGAGTTCATTGGAAGTGAATTACGACGATTTTTTGCATTTCAAACATATTTTCATTGGAGTCGATGCTATCGATGAAGAGGACGCGTTTAAATTGGTCCAGGTAAGGGTAGGGGGTGGGTATAGGAAGGTGAAAATAGGCGCATTTTGATCAGCACATCAAGAGCTTTGAAATGAGTATAATCATGACTAGGTTTTGAGCAATTTTTGATTTTTGGGTCTCGACACGAACAGGAGAAAACCAAATTAACTCGGTCATTTTTGCTCCAAAAGAATTGAAAATTGGACGGTTGGAATCAACTCATCAAAATGGTTTGAATGAGTATAATCATGACTAGGTTCTGAGCAATTTTTGAATTTTGGGTCTCGCCACGAAAGGCCAAAACTACAGTATCTCGGTCAGTTTTGCTCCGAATGAACTGAAAATTGGACGGTTGGAATCAGCTCATCAAGACGGTTCGAATGAGTATGATCATGACTGGGTTTTGAGCAATTTTTAATTTTTGGGATTTTTGGGTCTCGCCACGAAAATATCAAAATCACAGTATCTCGGTCAGTTTCGCTCCGAATGAACTGAAAAATAGACCATTGAAATCAGCTCAACAGGACGGTTCAAAAGAGTATGATCATGACTAGCTTTTGCTAAAATTTCAAATTTTTGGTTTTCTGGGTCTCGCCACGAAAAGGTCAAAACTACAGTATCTTTTACAATTTTTCTTTCTTAGTCATGATTATACCCATTTGAACCGTCTTGATGAGTTGATTCTAACCGTCTAATATTCAGTTCAATTGGGCCAAAACTGACCGAGATACTGTAGTTTTTGAGATTTTCGTGGCGAGACCCAAAAAATGAAATTTTCTCAAAACGCGGTCATGATTATACTCATTCGAACCGCCTTGACGTGCTGATCAAAATGCGCCTATTTTCAACTTTCCAGACCCAAAATTGAAAACAAAAAACCCAAACTTTCAGATATATATGGCATTCACTGACATTGATGGAAGTTTCGAAGTGTGGACCCGAGAGCGCATCTTGAGAAGTTTTGTCTTCAACAGAGTCCGTACCGGCTATCCAGGAGTTAGATTCATCCCAGCAGGCAGTTGGATAAGTGGTCTATTTCATCCTAACCTTGCGGGTTGTACACTGGATCTCTACCCGGACTACTATTCGTTTCGTGGCCAAATTTTAAACCGTCGTGCGATGAGGCTTGAGGAAATTAGGCGTCATTTGGAACGTGAGGGACATGTTGCCCCTCTGTAACTCATTCCTTTAGTTTTATGCAATTGCGCTCTACCGAACACCACAATTCCCTTCAATTATCCCTTTATTTAAAAATTCATTTCAATTTTATGCAACTTTGCTCTATCGAACACCTTTCTTAATTCATGTTAGTTCCCAATTGAACGTTTATAATAAAACAATGATCATCAATTTTCTACACCCCCCCCCCCCAGGATACTCGGTACGGGCTCTATTATTGAAAACAAAGCTTCTTAAGATGCGCTCTCGGGTCCACACTTCAAAACTTCCATTCATGTCAGTGAATGCCATATACATGAGTTTTTGGTTTTTTGGGTCTCGCCACGAAAATATCTAAATTGAGGTATCTCGGTCAGTTTTGCTCCAAATGAGTTACAATTCTCACGGTTAGAATCAGCTCATCAAGACGGTTCAGATGAGTATAATCATGACTATGTTCCGAAAATTTTACAATTTTGAGGGGTTTATGGGTCCCGCCACGAAAAGATCAAAACAACTGTATCTCGGTCAATTTTTTTCCCCTAGTCATGATTATACTCATTCGAACCGTCTTGACGAGCTGATTCTAACCGTCTAATTTTCAGTTCAATTGGACCAAAACTAACCGAGATACTGTAGTTTTTGAGATTTTCGTGGCGAGACCCAAAAAATGAAAATTTCTCAGAACCTAGTCATGATTATACTCATTCGAACCTCCTTGATGTGCTGATTCCAAATATACAGTGTTCAAAGCTTTTGGAGCAAAACTGGCCGAGATACCGTAGTTCGTGGCGAGACCCAAAAATCCCAAAAATTGAAATTTTCTCAGAACCTAGTCATGATTATACTCATTTGAACCGTCTCGATAAGCTGATCAAAATGCGCATATTTTCAACTTTCTAAACCTAAATTTGAAAACGAAAAAACCCAAAGTTACAGATTTATATGGCATTCACTGAAATGGATGGAAGTTTCGAAGTGTGGACTCGAGAGCGCATCTTAAGAAGTTTTGTCTTTAACAGAGTCCGTACCGAGTATCGTATGGTTTATTGGGATCCAGCAAGCAGCTGGATAAGCGGTCTAAGGCATCCTAACCTTGCGGGTTTCTCACTGGATCTCTACCCGGACTACTATTCGTTTCGTGGACATTTTTTAAACCATCGTGCGATGATACTTGAGGAAATGAGGCGTATAAATGAACGTGTCGGACTGGTCGCCCCACCGTAAATTTTTTCCTTCAATTTTATGGGCGGTTTGCTAAATCAAAACTGTTTCTAAATTAGAACTGTCCATATCTCAAAAATGGGCGGAACTATGAAAATGGACTCTGTAACTGTTGACTGTTTCCTTGTATGAGTGAGCTTCTATTTTGCTGAATTTAATTTGGAGAAGACATATGAAGGCCTATCTCCCGATGGGTATGGGTTATTGTCTGAAAGGTGCACGATTTCTCTGGAGCACTATCCACCTGGAAACACTTTGTTTTGTCATCATATCCTTACTTGATCTCTGTAGATGTCTTAAGTTACATTCCTCGATTCTTGGTACGATAATCTTGTACTGTAAATTCTACAGGGCGATTTTCCCTCACTTTGAAATGCAGACTAGAATGTTTTATGCGACTATCAGGTT